ACATCACCATCTTCCACCAGCTACTGTTGACATTAATGAGGATCAGGCTTGCCGATTGCTTTTTTGTCATATCTGTTTGGTGTTCATATGTCCACAATTTCAAGAGTTTTTACAAAATGTCATTAATATACTAAATGACAACTTAGTACCTGTGTGTGTGGTATGGCCTGACAGAGATGATGTCCAAACATCTCTGCCAATGTGTTTCAGAAAGTCTTTCAAGCAATGCATGTCAGTAATAGACTGTTTTGAAATTTACCATTGACAGACCTAAAGATCTGAAGGCAAGGGCCCAGACTCTCTCAGTATAAATCACACAACACCATAAAATACCTAATAGGTATAACTCCACAAGGGATAATCTCCTTCATCTCCAAGGGCTGGGGTGGGCGGTCAACTGATGCTCACATTACAGCAAACAGTGGGTTTTTGGATAATCTCCTACCAGGAGACTTGATCCTAGCAGACCGTGGCTTTAGGATTCAGGAACAAGTTGGCTTGTACTGTGCAAGGGTTGAAACTCCTGCCTTTACACGGGGGAAAAAACAGCTGGGCGCTGTCGAACTGGAAGATTCCAGAAAACTTGCAGCAGTCCGCATACACGTTGAGAGGGTAATTGGTCAAGCACGATCCAAGTACAGAATGTTGCATGGACCTGTGCCCATTAGTCTTCTGATTAAGTCATCAGAAGAAGAGGAGTTCACTTCTCTTGACAAAATAGTTAGAGTGGCTTGTGCCCTAACGAATCTGTGCCCCTCAGTGGTGCCAATAGATTAGCTGAAAAAAAAACCCAGTTATTCTTTAACAGAGAGGTTTCTAAGTTTTTTGAAAGCACTTTGAGTAACAATTTCCAGTGTAAATAGTTGTACTAGCACATTAACAATCAATTCTTTACTTATCCAATTCTTTACTATGTGTCAGTTCCCTAACACATTCACACTATGTATTTAATTGAAACATGCAGGACAAACATTATAAATCGCAGTTGAAAACACGTCTATTCAGACAAGCTTTTAATATGTAGCTTCCGTCCTGTTTCAACTGCTATTTTATCTACTCTTATGTTTTTATATATTGTTGTTTATTGATGTTTTTACTGGAAAGCGCCTTGTGCACATTTTGGTTGATGTAAAGCGCTCAACAAATAAAATTTGATTGATTGATTGATAAAAGAAGTTGTA